AAAAAAAAAATATAGCTATTAGGAAATGAGTTTTCTACTGTCCATAGGTATGTCTGAGAAAAATCAGTTTGTTCTACGCTGTTATAATCTACATAATAATAAATAGCATTATAATTAAATCTTAGCATACTTGCATTTCAACTATGAAATGCTCAGAAAATAAGAAAACCAATGAGAAAGGAAAAAGATGTAGCACCTCCACTGTAACCTATGTTTATCATTTCTTTATGTTCCTTTGCAGTTTTATTTCATGGAGTTGTTTCTATAGTATGACAGCCGTAACACACATACATACCTATATGTCCTACCCTTTGTACTTCACAATGTACCATATGCATTTTCCATCTCACTTTGGTAACTTCATAATTACTTGTTATCACAATGGTCAGTATTTTATCATATAAAATTATTAAATGTTCTCTTACTAATGAATACTGAGGTTGTTCCAGCCAATGAGATTTTAAAATGAGGAAAATTTGTCCTTTTATTTGTTTCTTCTTGATAAGAAAGAATCTTTTTCATCTGTGACTTATACTTTGTCATTTTAACCATTCCTTTAAGATCATGATATGCAGTGTATTAACTTGTTATTTTCTAATTATTTTGTTATCAAATTTTATTTTTTTCATAGAAACGAAGTGTTTTTATATTCTCCTTGTTAATATCTACTTACATTAAAATTTTAAAATGATAGTGTTTTTGAAAAGAAAAAAATTTTCAGTATGGAGAAGCATAGCACTTTATAGTCTAAAGTAAAGAGATTCTTAAACAACTGTCATCTGAAAGGAGTTAAGAATAAAACTGCTCAATTACTTTGAAATTTGTCATTAAATTTACATTTTAATGAAGTTATTGTTATGTTTTTACATGACAGAAAGGGTTTTATACTGAAAATAATGTGAATTAGTTTGTGTTAAGGACTGAGAATACTTTTGACAGTTTTATTATTTATATGCTATATAGTTCATTCTAGAAGGCTTCAGATTTTTTGTCTTATTTCTGTTTATATAAATTATCCCCAGTACCAAAAAAGAGATGAAGCAATGTAGACTAAAACCATATACTATACCTAGTAATTTTTCAAAAGGGAAAAAGGAAACAATTTTTAAAAAGAGAAAAAAATACACTGCATGGCAATTTTTGATGATGGTGGTGATGTCAGTAAACTCTGAGGCACTTGTGAGGCCTCAGCCCGTGACTGAAGTGCTGTAGTGAAGTGTCATACTGGCCCTCCCTGTAAGTTGACCCACTACAGTTATCTTCATTTTGTTATACAAGGAATAAAAGTTTGGAGAGCTAATTAAGTTAGCCAGATTTAGAGAAGTAAACTTGGTGTAGAGCTGGAGTTTGAACTCAAGCCTGTCGAACTTCTACAATTACCTCAGCAGACACTTAAATTTTCCATTGGTCCATTTTTTTTAATTCTTTTGATTCATTTCCAATTATGATAATCTACCCCTGGAAATAGTTTTAAATACAGGGGAAAGAAAAGTACAGCATCATTTAAATAGTGCCAACTATAAACAATTTAATGCCTGACAATAGAGAAATGGTTGGGTGTAATAGCCAGTAGACTATTATTCACCTGTTAAGCCATGTTGGTTTTTTGTTTAGAATTGTTTTGTTGTTGTTTTGGTTTGGCTTTTAAATATTTGCTTTGTTTTGTGTTTTTTTTTTCTTCATTTGTTTTGTTCTTAACACGGGATCTTGTTGTGTAGTCCAAGCTGGTCTTGAACTTGCTGTGTAGCCAGGCTGACCTCAAACTCTACCCTAATCTCCCAAGTGTTGGGATTACAGGCATATTACACCCTGCCTGGTTTAAACTGTTTCTTGTTATGAGTTTATAATGTGGTGAAAAATGTGTATAACTTAGTAAATGAAAAAGCTGAGTAAAATTACTAGACCATCACAGTGCTGTTTAAAAATGTACATATAAGGACTGGGATATGGCTCAATGGTAGAACATGTATTTAATCCCTAGTATCACCAAAAAATTCACTAATATGTGCATAAGAAAAAAATGAAAATTAGCATCTCAAAATGTTAACATTTGGATAATGAAAATATAAATGGAGGCCAAGCCTCTCACCCTACTTTAGCATTAAGATAATGTTCTTTATATTGAACATGCATTTCTTTTATAATGAAAAATATATAGTTGATAAAATATAATTATTTAAAGTTGACTTTTGAGTTTTTCAGCAGTCTAGTTATTTTTTTTTAGGTTTGTCACATCCTTTTATTCATTCAACAACTATTTTTGGAGTAGTTAGTGGTAATCTGCTGTTGTATACTAATCCTCAAATACATTTTAAAATCCAATGGAAAAGTCAACTTTGTAGCTCATTCTTTACTTGGTATTATGTTAATGAGCATTTCCTTTTTTACTAAAAATTTTCTAATTGCATATACACTTATTATATCATTTAATCAGTCACAAGGCTTTTATTTTTATTTGAGCTGCTCTCACGTTCTTATTAATCTGAGTGAGGTATGTTACTGTGAAAAACTTTTGTATAAATCCTTATCCACATCAGTTATGGCTTACCTAAATCCTAAAATCCTAGAACTTCAATTAATTGGTGTTCTTGATATCCATTGTCAAATCATTTTTGAGAAAGATATTTATAATAACAGTACTTCTCTGGAGGGGAGAGATGGAAGAGAAAAAAGGAGAAAAAATAATTGAGTGTGTTATGTACGTGTACCAACTCCCCATGTGATATTTAAGTACTATATATAATTACTAATAAATTTTTTCAAAAATAACAATAGTATTAGTAAAAGTTACTTTTAAACCCATAAAATTATAAGAATTAAGAATCCCAAAACGATAAATAAAAGGAAAACAGTATGTTTTAGGTCTTTAACATTGAAGAGTCCCTAGTTTCCCTTTCTTGGAAATAGTGTTCTGATCATTAATTCAGTAAATCTTTTGAAAGGAGTTTCTGTTATTACAGTTGAATGGCTGCTAATGGGCAGAAGTAGTTTCTGCATCGGTAGTCATAGGAAACATTGTAAAAGAAAACATCAATGACCTAACTGTTCATACAGGAAGCAATTTTAAGTGAATCTTGAGGGAATGGTGCTGAATGAAAAAAATCCAATCCCAGAAGATTAATACTGTGTGATTTCATTTATATAACATTATTTTTAAAATAATGTTGCTGAGCCAGGGACTTGCTTACTGATGCCACTGCCTGCCTCCCAAGTGCAAGGTCCTGAATTCAACCCAAAATGATGATGATGATGACGATGGTGGTGGTGGTGGTGGTGGTGGTGGTAGTGGTATTGGAGAAAGATTTGTGGTTACTCATAGTGATGGAGTTGGGAGTGAGTAGGAAAAGCCATAAAAGGGCAAAGTGAAAGATTCTTGTATCTTGATTTATCAGAAGCAATATATCTGTGGTATTGTACTATGGTTTTACAAGGGATATCTGGAGCCACTCTTTTCTTACAACTGCATGTAAATTTTCAATTACCTCAAACTTTAAAACTGA